AATGGACACTTCACCATTCTGAAGTTGGGTTTTCTGTTAAAGTTATGAGCAGTTATTATCTTACCTGCTGTAGACAGTGTTTTAAATCATCTCAGTTTGGAGAAATAAGAGTTTAATTCATATCAAGTGAATGACTAGTGTGAACGCAACGTTGTTTTTACGCTGGATGCCCTTCCTGACACAACCACAGACCACCGAGCTACCACAGCCCTCTGTGTGGAGCAGCTGCTATCTAGGGCACCCGGGGGAGCAGATAATGGGGGTTAAGGGCATTGCTCATGGGCCCAGAGTGGAGCAAATGATGGTGGAGGCAGGTGTGGCACCTTTACAATTATATTCAAGTGGGTGCAAAATCGGTGGAAGCTAGCTGTAGCATTTCCTGCATGGATATCACAATATTTCCACAGAATGAACCATGTGAATCAAAACTGATAGCGCTGTTTCAAAATGACCAGATTATCCCTTTAACACATAACCAACATTTGAAATGAGTAACGCTTTAAGAATACGGCCACCAGAATAATCTTATCTGTATTACTAGTAATAGTATAGAACATAATAGTAATAGTAGTAGGGATGTAATGGTACACGTGGGTGTACTGAACTGTTTTGATACAGCATGTTCGGTTCGGTCCACGTGCATTTCGTTTCGGTTATTTTTTCATTCATTAAATTTTATTAACGAGAGATTATGTGCCACGGAACTAAAGTTCCTAAGCGTGTTTCAGCATGGCGCTATAGTCTTGCAGCACGCGTAGCATTAGTAGCCTAGCTTCTCGTTGTGGTCTCCTGTTTGGGAACATTGTGTCTTTCTTGTTAAAAGACAAGTGGACAAATCCAATGCTGTGTGTCGACGTTGTTTCATGGAGATTGGATCTGCAGCAGCAACACGTTGAACTTGTTAACGCTCTTGAAACGACACCATCCAAACGTGAACGTCTCTTCTAGCAGCTTGGAGCAAACACCGATAACAGCAGCATTTAAACCTTTATCAGGGAATTCAGATCGGTCCAGAGCAGTAACACAAGATGTAGGAGTTTTTAAAGCTCTGGATGTACGTTTCTGTTGTTGATGCACCGACTTTAAAGTTACTGAGTCCCACTACGACATCACGTCAACACTTCAGCCAAAAAGTTGTAGCAGCACTTTATGAAAAAGCTAAAACTGATATTGTCAACAAGCCCTGGACCAGATTAAAGCCCTGATGATGATGATGATTAAGAAATTCAGCCACCTCATAACAACCGTTCAAGAAGAGATATTGTTATTTTATTATTATCTATTTAACTTTTTTAAATTTAAGATTATCATCTTATTAACTCATTTTTTAACCTCTGTGCTGTATTTCCAGTCTGGGACAGAGATAGCAGCTGAGTCTTCCTGTTCAGGGAAATCCACCAGAGATCACCTCCAGCTCAGAAGTCTGTGATGAGTGAACTCTGAACTTTTCCAGGGTCCTGTCCCGCCTGTGGGAGCAGGTCCAAGAGGTTGTGAGTAATGATGAGGCCAAATACAGCCACACTGCAACATTATCAAAGCTCTACCTCTTTGTTCCAGCTACTGTTGTTAGTGAGAGGATTTTCTCCACCGCTGGAGATAATGTCACTGCAACTAGATCTGTGATTTTGGCAGAAAATGTGGACAAGTTGGTCTTTTTGTCCAAAAACTTTAAACTTGATTAGTTAGATTGTAAACAGTCTGTTGCTGTTTATTGTTCTGGTTCTGTCTGTTACTGTATTTATTAAGATTTTTATTATTGTTAGTATAGTTTATTTATTGTAAAGAGTGCCTTTTATTTAAAATATCATCCAAATGGGTCACTTTTATTTATTTTATACAAATGTATAGTTTACTTGGCATATGTTCAAAATAAACGTTTTGTAAGTTTTTATTTTGGCCTTTTTTTGTACCGAAAATGAACCGAACTGAGCGCTCCTTGAAACTGAACCGAAATGTATTTTAGCATACCGTTACAGCCCTAAATAGTAGTAGTAATAATTTAATGATTTGCGCCATTTCTAACAAACCCCCTATTCTCTCTCTCTCTCACACACACCATGCTTTCATTCTCACCATGGTGAGAAGCCAACGCTGCAGACTTCA